AACACAACATATTTGATAGGAGTTTCTGTATTAAAGAATGGGTTTTCTTCTTGCATCCACTTGAAAACATGTGTGTTCAAGTTCACTTAACAAGGAATTTACTTATTTACTGAAATTTGAAGTGGAGTGTGGCCAGGTGGGTCCAGGAAGGACTGTCATTAGATAACACGCCTAAGTTGTACTTCAGTGTTGGGACACCTGACTGGCTGGGAGTTAGTGGAGGTTACGGATGGTTCTTTTCCAGTGGATTTAATCCTGAAGCTACGTACTCCCCCTTCTTCAGTGTTATAATAAATCAGGTAGGTGTTGAGTATCTGGAAAAAATTATCTGAATCAAGGTGAATGATTTAGTGAATCCTTAAGTTCTAAAACTAAGTTACAGTCACCAAAGAACAGATTCTGTGACCTAATAAATTGGATTTTTTAAAGGTTTTGTTTATTTATTTGTAGAGAGAAAATAAAGGAGGGAAAAATAGAAGGCAGGAAAGATCAATGTGTGGTTACCTCTCATGTGTCCCCTACTGGGGACCTGGCCTGCAACCCAAGCATGTGCCCTGACTGGGAATGAAACCAGCGACCCTTTGGTTCATAGGCCCACGCTCAATCCACTGAGCTATACCAGCCAGGGCTGTGACCTAATAACTTTTAAGGTTTTTCTAATGAAATAAAGTTTGGTAATTGAAATAGTTTATTTCTATTTTTTAAAAATAGAATCTTACTATGTGGAAAAACACTCTTGAATCCTATGTGGTCATTGTTGGAAAATAATTTTGCTTTTTTTTTCTAACAACATTCAGGCTGTTTCTTTTTTTCTTTGTAAATATAACTCAGGCTTCCTGTGTTTCTATGTTGGAAAGCATGTCCTTTTCATCTGTTTTTTCGCCTAGTAGTGCTTAATGATACCATGTGAATTTTAATGGTTCCAGCTGCACCAAGGTGTGTAGCTTGAAACTTCAGTTGGATTAAGAACATACCTTGGTGTGAGGGCTGAAATTGGAGTAATGGGACAACATAAGGTTGCATCTATATATGTTGCAATTAATATTGATGACTGGGCAAGATTCCAACATTATCCTAAGGGACTGGCTGATGTTCATTGTAAGCCAATACAAGTGAGTTCTTCCCCTGCAGGTGTGAATAGTTTTATTTAGTAAGTGGATTAGGAAAAGCAAGGGCTATTTTACCGCTCTCCAGTTTATGTTACATGTTGAACATTAACCAGCTGCTTAAGGTACAGCTTATCTTTGAATGGTGGTAATAGATTTCCTGAGACATTGCTAACCCATCTTGGTGTCTTCAGGGTCTAGCATCATGCCTGGTACATAGTAGGTGCTTACTAGCATTTGTGAAATTAATAGGAGAATGAATGAATGGTCGCTGTTACCAGGCCCCTTAAAAAAACTGGTCCCTGCTTACCTCTGTACTCTTTTTACCACCTGCCATCTCCTAGCCATAATACATCATTGGTAGAGTACTAAATATTCCACATTCTTACTCGTCTTCAGAACTCTGTACTTATTCTCTCAGCCTCTAATGAAATCATCAGTACCCCCCTTGTCTGGCTAATTTCTACCAGTTCTTTATGACTTAGCACTTCTAGAAGATTTTTAGGGGGCATCATTGCTGGCATCTCACTGAAGGCCTGGTTCTCTTCCGTATCTCTGTGAACCTTTGGATAACACCAGGAAGCTACTGTCTCGTGCACCTATTTTTTTAGAAGAGTTCATTCACTCGTTCATTTATTAAAGAGAAGGGGTGGGAGGGAGAGAGGGAGAGAAACATTGGATGTGTGAGAGAAACATTGATTTGGTGCTTTATGCACATCCCCAGCTGGGAACCTGGCCTGAACCCAGGCATGTGCCCTGACTGGGCATCGAACCAGTGACCTTTCAGTTTGCCCAACCCACTGAAGTACACCTGTCAGGGTAACTAGTGCAACCATTGAAACCTGTATCTGACCCTCCTATCCAGTAGAATGAGGGTCATTGTCAATTGCTAGAATCATTTGGATTACATTTCTCAAGCTCTACTTTAATGATACCGTCCTTTTACAAATAGGCCAAGCATGACTCTATAGTAAGAGGAACTGAAAGGGTCAAGTCAAGAGCCAACTTACAGCGTTTACAGACCATCAGTATGGGGTAAAATGGGATGATGAAGTAAGACTGATGATGAATTACCGTTAGTATGACTGATACCAAGAGGTCTAAAGAGGCCAAAAGAGATGGGAAACTAAACCCTTCTCTTTCTAATTCAGTTTAGGAAAGTTAGTGCATAGTAGGTGCTTAGCTAACATTTGCTGAGGCTGAAAGAATAAGTGAATCAGTTTTTCCCTTTTCCTTTTTTTTTTTTTGGCTTTATCAGATTAAAAAAAAATTCTTAGTCTCCTGTACTCTACTTCTTTCTGCCCACAGAGCCATAGCGTCAGTCTATACTTAGTGCTTTTGCTAAGACTGACTCATCTTCTTTCTGATTGCCTTAGTGATAGAAAAGTCTGGTATCCATGGGAGTGATGTAAGACTGTATTGCTTTTGTGCTTGGAAAAATGTAAACCGGAATGGTTAGCTGTTAGTACTGGTACCAACTAACTCCTGAGAACTATAGGACAATCTCAGTCTTCGATTCTTAAGCCAGTGTGGAAAACAGCATCATCCAGCAGGAAACTGACCAACCTTTGTGACAAATACTATTCAAATCTGGTCTGTGCCATGGGTGAGCTGTGTGACATTGGGCAAGTTTAGCCTCTCTGAGTTTCTTTACCCCAGATTTTTGTGTGTGTAAAATGGAACAATATTAACTCATAGGATTGTGTGACAATTTGAAATGTTTTTCTTTTCTTTTTTTAATTTTTAGGCAGAGGGGAAGGGAGGGAAAATGAGAGGGAGAGAAACATCAATGTGTGGGGCCTCTCATGTGCCTTCTACTGGCGATGTGGCCTGCAACCCAGGCATGTACTGACTGAGAATCGAACTAGTGACCCTTTGGTTCACAGGCTGTGAACTGGTGACCCTTTGGTTCACAGGCTGATGCTCAATCCACTGAGCCACACCAGCCAGGGCTGAAATGATTTTCTTAAGTGCCCTAGTCTATATTTGATGTTCAGCAAATGGTAGATATTGTTATGACTGTTACAGCTATGACCCAGATTGGGTAGAGACCTTGCAGGGGTGTCCAACCTTTCGGTGTCTTTGGTCTACACTGGAAGAAGAAGATTTGTCTTGGGCCACATATTAAATACATTCTGATGTGTAATCACACCAAAAAAATCTCACAATGTTTTATGTAAATGTACGATTTCGTGTTGGGCCACAATCATAGCCATCCTGGATTGTATATGGCCTCCAGTCCACAGATCGGACATCCCCGCCAGAGCACCAGTGAAGACAAGGCTATAGGAATCCCCCAAACCAGGACGGAATGGCTGAGTCAGATCTCGCTCGTCTCTGTGGGTCTGCAAAGGAGATTTTCTCTTTTCGTCTGGGAAAAACTTAGCAGATATGTTTAAGAAGGGAACTGAGAGTGTTTTTCCCCATGTTCTGTGTATTTCAGAGCTGGCTAGAAATCGATACTAATTACTAAGAAAGGGTTTTTAACAATACATGTTAGGAGGTAGAGGAAAGAACACTGACCCATATTCTGGGGTCGAGGCTCTGCTCTGCTCGTCTCCATGCTCTCTGCCAAGCCCTCCTCCACCACGATTCTGCACCCCTTCCCCGGGAGTGCAGCACACGGGACCAGATGGTTGTCCTGGCCTCCGCTGTGTTTTCTTCCCGGGCAAGTGCCCTGCCTACCTGGAAGTTCGTGTGGGTGGCCCCAGCTGGGCTGCTTTTATTATTCCGAAAAGCGTTAGCAGAGAATTGGCTGGACACTGGAGTGTCTCGTGTGATTTGACATTTTGGGGCATCCTTTTATGCTACAATTTTACCTGGCCAAAAAATTTTCCAGCTCAGAAATTCTAAGAGTGAAAACTCTCTGAATAAATGAAACCAAGAAAAGATTTTTTACAGCAAATTTTAAAATTCTCACATGACTTGATTATAGAAACTGCTTCAAATACTGGACTTCTTCAGGAGTGTTGATAATGCTTGTCTCTGAATGGGGAATGAATTTCCCAGCTTCCCAAGAATTAATGACGACAAAAATTACCCCAACAAACCCCAAGGTGTCTGAAGCACCTGCTTTCTTCTCAAAGAGCCGATCAAATACTCTTCTGTTGGCTCAAGAGCTATCAGCAGTATTGAACAATTAGACTAGAATGAAGGGTTGTGAACAGTTGTTCCCTAAAGGCCTGGAAATTCACAAAGGCCATATTAGTAAGGCAAGGAGGGAGGGGGATGAGGATAATGGGGTTTGGGAGGAACAATTCAGAAGTGGAGAGGGTGATTGGAGGTATTTTTTTTCCCAGATGGTTTTCAAAGAAAAGAGATTTGTGTAGTTTGCTGTGGGGCTGAGAACACAGTACAAGGCCAGTGATGTTCTTTTTTTATCCAACAATTACTTTCTCTGGCCTATTCCTTTTAGGCTAACAAAGTACCTTCCTTTCCTTTTTCATGGTTATTGATAGCAAGAGCTTAGGGGCTTTTTGCTTCCCAGGGCTCAGGATTGGATGGAGAAAAGGATACACCTAAGAGAGAAAATTGACATTTTGCAGATTTTTCTTGAATTTTGTTGTCACAGGCAAGAGAAAACTATCCAGGTTCTCATTTTAGTCTCGGGGGTGACTGATTTCTTTCTTTCAGAAGGCTGATAGAGGGGGTCACAGTCTTAGAAAGGGAAGAAGCCAGGGAAAGGGAGAAAAGAATGAGATTTATGACCTTCTGCATCCCAGCTTTTATGTCGTGTTACCATTCCCAATACTGGAAGTTCACAACACCCGGAGACACAGGCGTTCAACTCCGACCGGCGATCTGCATGCGCAGGCGCAGTGCAACAGCCCAGCAATTGCCTTGATTCAGACACACAGAGTCATGTCCTGGGTCCTAAGTGCCTCTTCCCTTTAGTCTGTCCTCTAGGCACAGAACCCAGTGTTTCACGGACGGAGGCGACAGACCACCCAAGGCCACTCGTGTTATACTGAGGGTGGCGGACGATGGTGCTTACGGAGGAGTCATCTCAACAATGGGACTGTTCCATCATTCTCTCTGCCATCAGCCCTCCGCACTCAGAACATGGAAACCTTTGCATCTGTTGCCACAGAATACTAAACTAATAGGTGTTTCTCAGCAAGCCCCATCCTGGCCCCATAACGCTGAGATGATAATTGAAGATCTTTAAAAATGTATGTGTCTTCCATTTTTATTCTATATGGCCCCTTAGGTAACATGACCCAATGTGACCATTCAATGACCCTGCTTACACTTGGATTACTCGGTACAAAGCAAATTTATGGTTGTTTATTCTCTCCTCCTATCAGCTATTAGTGCCTAATCATATGGTCTATCGATCATGAGATTAATCGCCTGCTCAAAGAGGCAGCAGGTCTTGTGGAATGCTGCACTGTGCCAGACTGAACTTCAACCTTTTATACAAACTGGAGGAGTCAAAGTCATCATTCACTGCCTGAAAGCCCCTCATCCCTAAGGCCTCCTGAACCCCAGGAGGTAAATCCCTGCTTTTTCAAACGGTGTGCTTTGCACTTCCTTTCCTTGTGTAAAAGTCATTGATTCAGGCAGGCACTTGCAAATGAAATCCTTTGCAAGGCATCCTATAAATAATGATCTAAACTGAAAATACAAGGGCTTTATTATATACAAAGCCCCGTAGTGCTGCCATCATTAAAGGTCTGTCAGGATTTCTATTACAGATTCTCATTTTAGAAGATTTATAACTGGACCATTAAAGTTTTTCTCTGGGCTAAGACTTTCTACGAGTGTCATGGTCTGAGACCCCTCCCCCCCTTTGAACGGAATGTGTTTCTTTAAGGAAAGAAATAATAAAAATCTAGAAACATTATCACATAGTAGTACATGTCTATAAATACTGGGCACTTTAAAGTTTGAGTGCTGCGTCCCCTGAAGTGACTTCTGTCCTCCTCTGTGTTCTCATTGAAGTTAGGAGAACAGAGAGAATCATTGTGGCGTCTCCTGCTGTACTGCTGTAATGTTTGTTTCCTGGTCTGTAGGCCCCACTCGAAGGAGAGTGAGGGAAGGGTTCTTAAGTCGTTTGTCTTGGTAGCTTTACCAGAGAGCCTCAGCCAGTGCAAGTACTGGGTTTGTTCGGTACATGCACCACAGGATGGGCATCGGGAGACTCCTTTTCCAGTCCCGAGGTAGTTGTTTAAGGTGGGGGTGGCAGATTCAGGCAGTGAACTTAGACAAGTCACTTTACTGCTCTGAAAACAAGTTTCCTGATCAAGGAATCGAGTGGGCTGGCTGGTCAGTCTTGCTCTTTGAGCAGAAGGCTGCCAGCACAGTGTTTGCAAACATCGGAATCCGAACACCTTCGAATAGAATCTGGGCTGTCAAATTTGCCGTAATCCCCTCCGTGTCCTCTGACGTTGCCTTGCATCAGTGGCCTGCTTCAAGCATTTGCCTGCATGGCCTGCAGTTAGTACTCCTTGGTGTTATAAAGGGATCCTTGGCTTTGGTGTTATAGTTAGGGTCTGAGATGCAGGTTAGCTGGGGTTGCTCTGGAGTGTCATTTTCATTCTCTAACTTCCCATGTTTTTATTATGAAGAACATCCACTATCATTTTTGTTTGTGTTATGTTTTGAAAACTTTTTTCTTCTGGGCAAACTGTATTGGTTAATAAGTAATGTATATTTTCTCATTTTTAAAGCAAACAGACGTCTATAACTGAGCATGCAGATAGAAATGAGCCAACAGAGGTTGAGTATGACATAGTTTTTGTGTAGTGAGTTGGTCGAGGTTTTAGCAAGCCTGTGCAGTTGTCCCATGGGTAAGTGTATAGTTTCTATTTGAGGTTTTAATATTCTAAAAATAGCTCCTAGATCTTTCTGCTTTTTTAGACATGTGAAGTTCCAAGGACTGTGCGTGAGCATTTAGTTTATTCTTTTAAGAGTTGCTGTCCTCAGAGCTTCAAGTAAGTTTGTCTACATAGGAGGTCCATGTCTTTTCAATTGTCTCCTTACTGGTCAGCTTAGGGAAGGATGTCTCTGTAAAACCTGGTATTTACCTTAGATGGGAGGAAAAGAGCTGCCTAATACAAGTTTACCCCATATAGCCCTTGCTACATTTTCTCCCTTTAGTCAAGAACGTTTTGGAAGTTTTGCTAAAAAGAGTGGAGACAATTTAATACTCGACTTCTCCCAAGCTAAGGAGAATCCTTTCTTTCATCTCAACTCGGGCCGTTGATGAATATTCTATATAGATTGAGAATTTAAAAGCACACATTTAAATGGAGGAAATTAAAGCTCGATAGCATAGAAGTAATTCTGCATATAAGCCAATCTTAAAGCCTGACCTCCGGTGTTTCAAGTAGCGAGCGTCAAGGGAAGATAAAGGGCTTTGAAGACAGCAACTGGGCTCAGCCAGCGTACAGCATGGATACAATTTAACAAGGAGAAGAAGCAGTGTTTACACTGTGGCTAAGAGTTGCCCCCTCCCCTCCCCGGTTCTGCTAATTTGGGTTTCATTCTGTCTTGTTTCCTTAATCAATTCATATCTTGGAGAGGTTACTTAAATCTCCATAAGCCTCAGTTTCCTCATTTATAAAACGGGGGTAATAATAGCTTGTCGTGAGGAGTAAACACAAAGGATTTATCATGTTGGTCACAGAATAAACGATATTAGTTGTCAGTATTGGCTAAGACATAGTTGAAATATATTTATGACCTTTGAGTCTTTCTTTTTAAGAGTTTAAAACTCTGCTTTCTTCAGAGTGTCCATACACACTGGGTCACCTACCTGCATTTCCAGGAAATTGTGAGTTTCATCAGTCCAAACGCGCAGCTTTCAGTTTTTCAGGAAACAAATGCTGTTTAATTTTTAAAAATCTAAAGTTGAAATCTTCTATGTTTTCTTTTCCCTCCAGATCAATCCAAATTAAAGTTTCATTGCAAAAGTTTCACGGACGCTTATTAGCATTAACTATTATGTGTGTGCTGGTGATAGGCCTAGAGTGCATTAAGGATTAAAACCTTTGAGAAAACTTTAAACCCTTTTGGTCTCATCGAGCCGAAGGGGACCTAGGAGATCCTCTCCTCTAAGTCCCATTTCGAAGATACAGAAAGTGTGTATTACAAGTTCAAATACGTTTTGAACGGGGACCGTCTTACATAGTGGCTTTTTACTTTGCGTCCTCACGGGAACCTGCGCTCATTTGCCATTCTGTGACTCTGTTCTTGTTGTGGGGCCGGTGTGTGTGTTTTAGAGAACCGCTGAGAGAGAGCGCTGGGCATTAGTTTTGTGGCAAAGTCACGAGGGCAACAATCATTATTAATGGATCCCATTATTTGGGAGAGCATTTTACTGACTATAGAGAATTCACTGTCTTGATTTATTGTGCCCCATTTGTGTTATACCAGGTAGTTTAAAATGATATTCTCTAAACTGTTGGGCTGAAAAATTGTCTGATCTTGGCAGTTATCCCATCAGTAAGGCCTTCCTTTTACTACCGAAAATACATAGTTTTGTTGAAAGAACCCTTTTGACTGGTCCCCAGTGCCCTGAATGTGCTTAAATCCCTCACTACTGAAATAGGAGGATTACTCCTGCTATCATTGTTCTAAAACAAACTTCCTTTTGGACGATAACAGCAGCGGTAAATCAGCTGTTGAAGAAAGTACCGGCTTAACTTCAGTTTGCGTTAAAAGGGCTTCCTCTTTAATTGACAAGTGTCACGTATAATGGAGCGCGGCAACTCCCAGAGAAAACCGTGCGCCGGACGTCCCGCTGGGGTTGGCGTTCCTAATGAACGTACCAGTGAATACACGGCGGCAAAAAATGAAAGCGCCCCAAGCGGGGTGCATTCATTCTGCTCACTCGGGCCAGTGTGGTGATCGGCCCCAGCCGCACTGATAACCAGAGAGACCTGGATTGGTCTTGTGGCCGTTCTGCAGCTCTGAGCTAAGGTGGCTGTGGTCTTTTCTGTGGCGTTGTGGGGGACAGCACAGATTCGAGTATCGGATCCAAGGAATAAACAAACCAATTAAAAATTTTTTTTATTGTGACCTATAAAGACAATAAGCTATTTTCAGCACATGCGATCTCTTTGCAGAGTGGTGGTTTCCTCACTCTGGACCACTTGCTAACGTTCGTAAGTTTCCTTCCTTTATGGTTCCCCTTTTCCTTCCCTTTGCTTTCCAAAAGAGAACAGACAGATTTTTTAGAGGTGATGTTTACAACAGTTGAACACACTCAAATAAGCACTTAGAATAACATCAATAGAGGAAGGGGAGAAAGGGGTGTATTATTATCAAATTAAGTAATGGATGGGCAGCGAGATTTTATTTATTAAAGCGCGCCTGAGTACCATTGGAAAGAGTACGTTGGTTCTGAAGTGTGCAGATTAGAAAGGAATGTTGAGTTTGGGAACGTGGCAGCCTGCAGCACTGTATATGGTTTAAATTAAACCTTTTTTTGGAAAGCAGAATAGCTCTAGGCCACATTTAAGGGAAAAGCTGCAGCAGAGTGAGCTGGCTGTGGTTTTTCTTTTACTCTGTAACCGGCCCACTTTCCCTTGTTTTAACACAGAAAAGAGACTTTGGACTCCTTCAGACCAACCACAGAGCTTCTCTGCTGACCACAAAAAGGAAGCTTGGCGTAGAAGCCATAGGATTAATACCCACTGTCTCTTAACCCAACAGAGTGTGAAAACTTTTATAAGAGATTTCTCTGGGCAGACTGACACTGTGGTTGGACTTTAAACATTTTAAATCAAGAACAACTTTGAATTGCATTATGCCACAGAGCTCTGTAAACTGTTATGTGCGATCCCACTGTTAAAAGTTATTTACACGAATCCCCAGGTTTCAGAAGGGGAAACCACTAACAGCTTTGTGTATCTTGATAAAGAAACACAAGGAGAATTAAAGGTATGCCCTGCCAAATTATCTCACATAGAGTAGGTAGATCAGAGTCAATCAGATTTTATTGTTCTTAAGCAAATGGAGACAATTGGCTCTTGGCAGAAAAGCCTTCTCATCTTTGAAAATAATAAGATTAAGATTATGGATTCTATTAATCACTTGATCAGCTTTATTAATTCAACACATTATTTTTAAACTGGAAAGAAACCTTCCTTTTCATAGAGGTGTATCTTTCTAAAGTAATTTTTGTGTTGCAGAGGTGTTATTTAATTTTCTGACCTACTAAAATGTTACAAATGGTTGTTTTGGTGACCTGAGCATTAATTTTAATGATCGGAATGTTACTAGCTGATTAATCATGTGTTTGCACAAAGCAATCCTGAAATTAGCAAAAAAACAAAAACAAAAACAAAAACAAACGAACAAAACCCTTCTGTGTTAGTATTTATATTTATCCATTTAAATATACCTGGGATTGATATATGTTAAATCATTCAGATTGACATTTTGCCCTGCCAAATAAAGCAGCTTTTCATAGGTGCACTGGATCAGCATTCTGCTTTCTGTTCAACAAAGAATCTCAACTGAAAGAGTTGATTTGAAAAGTTGAAGGGAAAAACCTGCATACATGTTTCAAAAGTGTGGTCTTACAGTAACCACTGAGTTAACTCTTGGGTGACTGTGTGTTTTGAGAGGGGTTCATTTGCTGTCATTAGAGAAGTTGGTCTGTGTGACACTTCCTGTGTGTGAAGAAACGCAGTTGTCCTCTTGCCTAGACCATTAAAACAGTATTTAAATCCTTCCACTTGTGAGGAGCCTTGCATTTACTGTGGTTATTTTCCCAGGTGTCTTAGGAGCAGCTGTTTTGTGCTTTCTTGAACCTAGTAGTTGAAGAATGTGGGAAAGAAATGGTGTGCTTTCTGGGTAAAGTATTTTAGCCACCTCGGAGTACTTGCATTGCATCTTGATCTTTTTCCATCTTGGTGGAATTATACTGTAACTAATTGAATCCATTGATCACTGTCTTGTTTTTTTTCCATCTTCTTCTCAGAGGATTCATTTCATAGGGGTCTATACATCAGTCAAGAAAATGACTACAGAGGAATTACCAAGACTCGTAATAAAGGTAATTTAACCTAGTTTAATATTGTTTTAAGGGCAAAACTCTCCAAGAGTCCTTTCCTGGTGAGAGTTAACTTCTTACTTAGGCTACGTTGGAAAACTAATCAGAATACACTAACCAGTACTTTCAGAGTGGGAGAGATAAGAGGAGAGAAAAAGCATCGATCTTAGAATTAGATGACCTGGTTTCTAGGTCTATCTATACCAATGCTTTTCAAACTTTAATATATATATGATTGACAGGCGATATTGTTAAACTTCAGATTTGGAAGCAGTGGGTCTGTGGTGTGTCTGAGATGTTGCATTTTTAACAAACTTCCGGGGATGTCCGTGCTGAAGGACTTCAGACCACGCCCCGTGTGGCAATGATCCATTTTCCTACTTAACTAACTTTGTGGCTTTGGATATACTCTTTAACAACTCTGCATCTCAGTTTCCTAATCTCTAAAGTAGGGATGTTAAGCTGTGCTCTGCCTACCTCACCAGAGGTAATGTACTGTCAAATGAGATAATGTAGATGAAATTTTTAAAGGTTACATAAGTATAAGGATCTTCACTTATAGACAGTCTTTGAATACCTTTCATCGAATTGGAGGGAGGTGCTCTGTGATGGGAAGCTCCCTGAACTATGAGACAGGAGAGAGGGACTGGAATTTTTACTTCCCTCACCCACTCTCTGTCTTTGGCCAAATCACTTCACCCTTCTAGTGTCTCACTGTCTCATCTTTAAAATAAGGGCTCGACCTGTGTTAGGGGTCGGTCCTCCACGTGCGGTAGCCAGACCAGCAGCATCCTCATCACTTGGAAGCTTCCTAGATTTCTCCTCCCTTACCAGAATAGAGAACCAGAAATGCTGGGGTGGGAGCCCAGCGGCGTTTTTTAACAAGTACTTCAGGTGATTCTGATACATGTTAAATTTTGAGGACCGCTCTGAAGTGTCATCCAGCTTTGAAACAGGATATTTACGCATTGTCTCCATAGGTGCAGCCGTGGGCATGCCTTTAGGTGCTGTCTAGAGACACTGTCCTTTCTCATGGGAAGAGAAGCATTGGGAGTTGAGTGTTCCCCACGGGTGTTCACTGAGCATGGGGAGAGGAGGTGTGATCATCTGGGGGGTTTAAGCCTCACCTGCTTAGAAGTCAGAACAGATTATAACTGCACTGACCTACTCCTTTCTGGCTTATCCCAGCTTTGGAGGGGGCTGTAGTGGCCCCTGCAAGCTACTTCAGACAGACAACTTGCAGACTGAGGGGTCTCTACCACTCTTATCTTTCTTTCCCTGCTGGTTGTCACCATGAGACAGTCCCGACTAACATTTTTCAAACAATCTCAAGTGCTGTCATCAAGGTGATCACAATCTACTTGCATAAGGTAGGCTGGTGTGAGATGAGAACTAAGAAAGTCAGATTCATGTTTTTCTTAGTCATTCATAGTTAGACTTCACATACCTATAGTTTTGTTTTTTTTTGTTGTTTGTTCATTTGGGAATATACCTTAGTACTAGATAAAAGGCACAGCTGGCCTCCAGTTGTCCAAAGTAGATTTTATTAAGTTCGAAATCATGAAAGTTCATGATTTTTATACTTGGAAGAGACCCTCAATAAAGCCTAACAACGTATACACAAGTCTGATTTTTCATTCCAGAGCAGCAAATAAACTCCTGGTGGACAGCTGCTTGAGTCTAGAAAGTGGACTCACTGAGAAGTGTTAGCTGGCAAGCTGAATGGTGAGAGAAGACGTGGAGGCAACTGTCAAAAGTAGAGCAGAGCCCTGCGGGGTGGTATGGTTCAGCTGGTTGACGGGTCGACCGTAAACTGAAAAGCTGCAGGTTCGATTCCAGGTCAGGGCATATGCCTAGGTTATGGGTTTGGTCCCTGGTCAGGGCACTTACAAGAGGCAACCAATCAATGTCTCTCTCTCATATCAATGTTTCTCTTCCTTTCTCTCTATCTCCCTTCCCCTCTCTCTAAAATCAATTGGCATGTCCTTGGGTGAGGATCAATAATAATAATAATAATAATAATACATTTAAAAAAGTAGAGCAGATATGAGGTTGCGATAGGTAGATTGAAACACCCTCCCCCTACACACACACATATGTATATGTGTGCAATGTAAAAATAAACATGTATATACTGCATATATATGCACACATGTAAATATATACAGATATATGTGTCAGTACATATACTTATATAAATACATGCACATGTATTTATATGCACACAGACACATGCACAAATACACACATATACCCTATATACTAATATTCCTGAATCATTCTTTGGGTAGCCACTGTAATGGAACACTTGTGTGTAACTCATGTGCTTGATGACGTTCTCAAGAAAGATATAGTTATGTTTTAGTATAAGACTATTGGTTACAAATTATAGAAGACTGCTCTCCAAAATGAGTTAATGTGGAAAACAAAGTATCCTTAAAGTGATAAATATAAGCTTTGCAAATTTATATAATTATGGAATATCTGCAATTATGAAGGACCTTATAGATCATCTATCCAGAGGTTTCAGTTTTCAGATTTTCTTTAAACAGGTCTCTTTTCTTCAATACTAAATGCACGGGGAAGGTAAATAAGTAAAGGAAGGAAGGAAGGAAGAAAGAAAGGAAGGAAGAAAGAGTGGGGATACAGGATCTCTTTTAGTTTTGGCCCTTCTATTCTTTCCCTAGAGGCAGCTGAGTTGGAATCAATCCCTGGGGCAAAGAATTACCCGGAGCGCTTTGATGCAGATTATGATTCTGTAGGTCTGGGGCAGGGCCTGAAACTCTGCATTTTTAATAAACTCTTGAGGTGTTAAACATACACTGACTACAATCTGAACAGCAAGGCCCTAGAGAATCTGTGTGGATAGTTTGAAAAACTTTGACAGGCCAACCTCTTTATTTTACCAATGTGGAAAGAAAGACTTGGACTTTATACATGATTTGTCAAAAGCACAGGCCTAGCGAGGATCTTCTGGTTCCTAGTAAGCCTCCACTCTTCTGTGCCATGCCTAAGATGAGTGGCTCTTTCGTAACCCTGCTGGCTGAATGAGGTAGCCTAGTACCAGGGTCTCAAGGGTGGGCACTGTCTTTCTGAGACAGAAAGACAAGCAGCCACAAAGCCAGCAGGTAGGTACCATAATTCAGACTCCATCAGTGCCCACACAAACTTAGTTGTCATTACATATGATGATGGGGATTTGTCCCCTTCCAGCCCACTGTCTGCCCTGTGGAGAAATGGTAGTGTAGATCAGATGCCGTTCAGGGTGGAACATTCTCAACAGCCAGTGAGGGCAGTTAGGCTGGTAGCTATGGTGTCTGCTGCCACAGCAGAATGCGTAAGCAGTTCTCAGCACCCCCAGCATAATCCATAAAACTCTTTCAACCTCTTTTTTTTTTTTGCATGATGTCTAGTGTTTGCAAATAGAAAGTGGCTGAGAAAACACAGAGTGAAACTTTATATAAAATATTTATACCTTAAAGATCTTTTATCTTGTGTCATTCAAGAGATAGAGAAGTGAAAAATGTATTGGGAGTACATTATCAAGAGTACATTATAAATTTAAATCTTGGATTGAATAATACCAGCTGCTAATGTGTGGAGCTTTGGAAATGAGTCACTCTTGAATCTTGAGAATTTATTGTACCAGGTCAGTTACACTTAAGAAGGAAGTGCCTTTAAAAAAAAATTCTATGCCAGAATCAAGGCTTACACTAATGGGTATTAAAAAATCAAATATTTGACATAATATTCCTGTTAGAATGTTCACATAGGAATAAGATGTAGGATCTAAGAAATTTTGTAGAACATTTCTCAAAAAAGTCATGTATTTTTGGCCTCTTCTTTGTGAAGCAATATAATCTGTGGTTAATAGTATATGTCTTAGAGGAAGAAAGATTTAGATTTCTGTTTTCTGTTCACTGCTTGTTAACTGTGCGATTTGATTCAGTTACTTTCCCTGAGACTCACTTTATTTTTATTTTATTCTTTATTATTAAGAAAGTATTTTATAATACTTTCCTGGATTAAGTGGCATAATATTTTTATTATGTTTTATTGATTATGCTATTATGGCTGTCCCAATTTTTTCACTTTTTCACCCCCTCCACCCAGCACCCACCACTCCCTCAGACAATCCCCACAGCATTGTTCATGTCCATGGGTCATGGGTATAGGTTCTTCGCTACTCCATTTCCTCTACTGTGCTTTACATCCCCTTGGCTGTTCTGTAACTACCTATCTGTACTTCGTAATCCCCTCTCCTCTTCGCCCATTACCCTACACTTCCCTCCCATCTGACAACCATCAAAATGCTCTCTAAATCCATGACTCTGTCTGTCCTTTTTGTTTGTTTAGTTTGTTTTTTAGATTGACTTGTTGACAGTTATGTATTTATTGTCATTTTAGTATTTATAGTTTGATCTTCTTTTCTTTAATAAGTCCCTCTAACATTTCATGTAATAATGGTTTGGTGATGAAAAAACTACTATAGTTTCTTTCTTGTCTGGGAAGCCTTTTATCTTTATCTGCCCTTCCATTCTGGATGATACCTTTGTTGGGTAGAGCGATCTTGGCTGTGTGTCCCTGCTTTTCATGACTTTGAATATTTCTTGCCAATTCCTTCTAGCCTGCAGAGTTTCTTTTGAGAAGTCAGCTGACAGTCTTATGGGGACTCTCTTTTAGGTAACTACTGCTTTTCTCTCGATGTTTTTAAGATTTTCTCTTTACCTTTAACATTTAGCATTTTAATTATGATGTGCCCTGGAGTGGGCCTCTTTGCATCCATCTTGTTTGGGTCTCTGTGCTTCCTGGACTCGCATGACTATTTCCTTCACCATACCAGGGAAGTTTTCTTTCATTATTTTTTCAAATAGATTTCCAATTTCTTGCACTTACTCTTCTTCTTCTAGCACCCCATTTGATGGGAATGTTGGCCTGCTTGAAGTTATCCCAAAGGCTGCTTATACTATCTTCATTTTTCATTCTTTTTTCTCTTATTGTTCTGATTGGTTGTTTTTTGTTTCCTTATTTTCCAAATTATTGATTTGATTCTTGGCTTTATTCATTTTATTGTTCTTTCCCTGTAAATTGTTCTTTATTTCCATTATTGTATCCTTTGTGTCTGACTGAATCTTTTTTATGCTGCTGAGGTCCTCACTAAGTTTCATGAGCATCCTTATAACCAGCATTTTGAACTCTGCATCTGATAGATTGCTTGCCTCCAATTCGTTTACTTCTTTTTCTGGAGTTTTTTTTTTTCCTTTTTCTTTATTTTTTATTTTTTAATATATTTTATTAATTATGCCATTTCCCCCCTTCATTCCCCTCCACCCTGCACACCCCCATTCCCCCCTTTAGTTTATGACCACATGTCTCGAGTTCTTTAGATTCTATATTTCCCCTACTATTCTTGCCCTCCCCACTGTCTATTTTCTACCTACCATCTATGCTACTTATTTTCTATACCTTCTCGCCCCTTCTCCTTCTCCCACTCCCCTGTTGCTAACCCTCCATGTGATCTTCATTTCTATGGTTCTGCTCCTGATCTAGCTGTCCTCTTAGTTTGCTTTTGTTTTAGGTGTGGTTGTTAATAACTGTGAGTTTGCTTATTATGTGAAATGTTAAAGGGACTTACCTTTTTCTGGAGTTTTGATCTCTTCTTTCATTTGGGCTATGTTTCTTTGTATCTTCATTTTGGCAGCCTCCTTTTGTTTATTTCTATGTATAATTAGGTAGAGCTACTTTCACTGTCTTTCGTAGTGTGGCCTAGTGTCATAGGTGTCCTGTAGGATTCAGTGGGACAGCTTCCTCCATTACCCAAGCTGGGTACTCGAGGTGTGCCCCTTGTGTGGGCTGAGTACACCCTTCTCTTGTACTTGAGCCTTGGTTGCTATTGTCAGGTCAATGATAGGGATTTACCCAGGCCTGTAAGGATTGGCTCTGACCACTTGCCACCACCCTCCACCCTCCACCCTCCATGGAGGATCAGCCGTGCAGGGACAGGGTGTTAGTGCTCTAATGTGGTCTATAGCTGTCCACTGTGTCTGCAGGCCCTGGATTTTCCCCGGTGGTGCAGGCCAAGGTCAGCTCCTATGTGTGTTTTGCCTGGGGCCATGCTGCCTGAGCTATAAAAAGCAATCTGAAATGGCTGCTATTTGTGTTGGACTCGGGGATTCCCAGGTGAAGCCAAGCTGTGCATCTAGGCTGGCTGCTGCTAGTGCAGTGCTTGAGACCACTTAGCAAGACGTAGGGGGGCTGGGGGCTTACTGCAGCCAGCTGATGCTTGTTCGAAAGGATTTAGGAAGTTGTGAAGCTTGAGCCAAGATCAGCCATTCATATAGAAAAGCCACTGTTTACAGCTGTAAGTTCAGTGGAACAGAGCCTCAGGGGATCTCCATGGAGGGGCAAACAGTGTTAGCCAGGTTGATGGAGTCTGAATTATGGTACCTACCTGCTGGCTTTGTGGCTGCTTGTCTTTCTGTCTCAGAGAAAGCTGTCCCCAAGCTCTTGCTTTGATGTCAGACACTTCAGTTCCTCCCTGTACGCCACTGGTGCCTTTCAAGCTGCCCCACTAGTGCTGGAGCTCAGAGGGAGTGAGTCTGAGTAAGTTTGTGTGTGGGTTCTTCAAGAGGAACTGCTTGGGACTCCAGAAGTTTCTCCTAGCTACTCTATCCCTGCTGGGTTTTGCAGCTAGAAGCCTGGGGACCTATCTTCCTGGCACTGGTACCCTGGGCTGAGGGTCCTGTTGTGGGGCTGGGACTCCTCATTCCTGAGATTATCCTCCCAAATTTTTGTCCACCACATGTGGATGTGGGACCAGCCCATTCTGCATCTTTGCCCCTCCTACCATTCTAGATAGATGTGGTTTCTTTAACTCTGTAATTGTTAGATTTCCAATGAACTCGATTTTTGCCAGTACTGAGTGATAATTACTCTATAATTTAGTTATAATTTTGATGTGGTTGTATGAGGAGGTGGGCAGTGTTTACCTAAATCACTATCTTGACCGAAGTCTGAATTGGCTTTATAACCTAGAGTAGCTACTTACTGTTTGTGCCTTGTGGCATTTATAACAAGGCATTAAAATCCACATCAAGTGGCATAAAATTTGTAAACCATCTAGTATACTGCCTAACCTCTCACAATATCTCAGTAAATAGTAGCTATTATTATCCTTGTTGTCACCATCATATTGTTCTTAGCCCTAACTAGTATTGTGCGAGTATATCCCGTTTGTGACATGGTGCCTTTCTCTTCTCTGGGTAGGTATGCTGTGAAAGCGGAACCAGAATTGGTGTACCCGTTAAAAAGTTGGCAGTCAGGAAAAGAAAAGGTATCTTTAGGAGACCATCACTATCTATGCCAGGTGTCTGGGTTCTAGGAAGCAAAAATAAGTATTTTATTGGTTATAATGGTAGTTTGTTTTTATAGTACACAGTATGTTTTTGTAGACTATGTACTAGGATGGCCGATTTAGATGCTCATAGCAGATAGAGACAGCCAAGTCCCATCTGAATGCCAGTGAGTCCCACTGAAAGGCCCCTTACTTCTAGGCAGTTGGTATTGGGTGTTGTGTGAGACCAGTGTCCTAGTTCCTCTTTTTTCTTTTTCTTTTAATAATCTGGACCTCCAGATTCTTATGTGAATCCATAAATGCTTTAAGGCAGCTATGTCTTGAGAATGCTTTTGGCTGCAAGAAGTAAAAAAGCAATGGTCTAAATGAAGATTGATTTTTCATGCATAACAGTTCGTCCAGAGGTAGTAATTAGTGTTGGTTTATTTTCTCACTAATACCAACAAGAATCCAGGCACTTTCCATTGTTCTGCCTTAACATCCTCTATTTGTTGACTTAATTTTCTGTAATTCTTCCATCTGTATGTTGAAGGTAGGATGATGGGAGTGTGGTCGTGCTAGCCTAGTGTGTTCCAGTTATCAGGAGAGGGAAACTGCACAGATGACATCGCCTTATGATGAACTGGTTAAAACGGAATCATTCATTGCAAGATGTAGGGAATGAGTGCCCAGCTTACCAGCCCTTGTAGGGGGCAGTGACCAGGAGCTTGTACATGGCCCCTGTGTGGGCAGTAATGAGGAGGTTGGTATTTGCCAGGGAACAGAGTTCGCAACAGCAACCAATTCAACAGGAAACCCAGCTGCAGGGCCTGGAGATCCTGCGACCTTCAATGTGTATCAGATGTCTCCAGATCTGAGCATTATAAAATAAATATCATTGGGGGGAAGACCAGTGCTTTATTTATTAGTCAAATGCTTTTGCATTATAGGGGATAGGCCATTACTAACAATGAGCAAACTGTTGAGGGAACATTACATGAATTTATTTAATTCCCAGAGAAGTTTACTTAGAGTTTTATTAGAGAAGTTACAAACAAACATACCATAT